CGGTCGAGTCTTCCGAAGTTACTTAAACCATTGAAGGTAACTTATTCCTTTTAAACTCAAATTTAGCTGGTTCTGTTGTGGGGTACTACTCACACATGTGAGTAGTTTGCACACACCAAGAAGCGGTTAATAATTTCCCACGGAAATCGCGAGTGAATTACAGGATTTACTAATGCAACTCCAAAGGAGACAAACAGACTTTCATGATGGCAATCATCAATGAACAGACAATCATGAAAATACTAATCAATTGTTACTAATTAGATGTTTCGTGATATGTAACCTTAGTTACCCTAGCTCATGTTGTTTTCCAGATGAGTAGTTCTCCTCATTCCGGCTCTGCCTTGCAGAATTGGCACTTGAATGCAAGCCTCCAACAAGTCCCAATGTTGATTGATAGACTTTTTCGTTCTAGATGACAGAATTATCGTCCAACTACTACTGTCAGGAACTTCATTGACACTCAGCACTCAGCGAAACCGATCACAAAACGCTTAGGAACAAGTGCGATCCAGCCGTGTTTTCGTCCTCAGAATCTCTGTAGAATAGTAAGTTGGACGTACCTAATGAAACTGGATTACTATTCATTCGTGCCAATGAGTTTTGTGTTTATCGACTACCGCGTTAGTATGAGTCAGTAGATTTCAGAACCGAATGCTGGATAACTTGCTAACTTCATGAAATCCATAAAGTCCACTAACCGCTCAACAATACCGCATCTTTCTCCGCTACGTGGTTATTGTAAAAACCAGCGAACGCATTTCAGGAATGCTTTGACCACCAGAAATCAAAAAAAGAAAAACCAACAACGATCCTTTGATTCACGCCTTCCACAACCGGAGACAGGGAGAAGAGTGAAAGTCTTACCTACAGAACCAATCAAAAGAGCTGAAAAGAATTCTGCATTAACCGAACAGGAAGAATGCTGTGAAGGTCGTTTGTAGCTCAGACTTATGTGAGGAGAAACTGCATGCCAAGCAGATCGTTGCACAAGCGTCTTTGTAAGAAATGCTCGTGTGCTTATCGTAACTATGGGAAAAAAACTCATTCCTGACCAGTTTGTTCACGCGATACTTATAGGTTGGTCCAATGAAATCATGTGACTTCCATAGCTTTTCCTAAGCACAAAACAGCGGGCCATGTGATTCACCGAAAAAACGCTACTCCTTTAGACGGACCTCAAACCCTTACGACAATGCACACGATCAAGATATCCAGTATATCCGACACCCGGTTGAGTCGGCGAACTTTGGGATCATGTTTATTAGGGCCCTGAATATGGGCTTTTCGTACCTTTACTGCCCGAAGTCCAAGAGGTAGAAAAAGCAGGTAAGAGAGATTTAGTTGGCCTTTGGATGAACTGCCGCTTTCTTGCTATAGAGAAGGGCTGCATCGGAATCCAATCGCTTGAATGTGATAGACATCTTTACGATGGCCGACAAGGAGTACTGGACAACTGTTTCTTCCTCTTCGGGCCTCGATAGAAGCTCGTACGTCTTATCCCTGTCAGAAATCGAACCACGAACTGAATAGGCTAATCTAAACATTCCCCTCTAACTTGGTGGAGCCATCTACACAAAGTGTTAGCCGTCGGTCGTGTAGCTCAGGAGTAAGCGTGTCAACTCTCAAACATCAGATTGATTGGTCGAGTCCTGACGGGGATACAAAAAGTACACAATGCTGACGAGTTCCAAACTGGACGAAACAGCTGTCCAGTGATCTTCGTCGGTCGTCACAAAGATCTCTATCGTATGTAACTGGTGGGGAATTAACGATCGACCGATGAATGAAACCCACACTCAAGATCATCAACGTCTGGAGCCTGTAAAAAACCGAAAGAATTAGCTCAGTCTAACTCGATCATTCCGCGATCCACAGACTCATGCAACCCAATGAGAATTTCCTTTTCTTCTCTTTTATGGTCACCATATGTTTACCTACCTGTCTCCCGCGCTGTACACAAAATCGGCTTCCTCTTCCGAGTCTGACGTTTGTTCACCTCCATTCACCTTTTCTCGCTTTACAAAGCCCTACACTTGATAACTGCAGTGATATGGGAGGGAGCCTCATCCACATCTCTTGCTCTTCTTGATCGGGTTCAACGTAAAGCCATTCATCCCATCAAAGCCTCTCTCTAGTATGAAACTTGCACACACTAGACCATCATCGGACAGTCGTTTCTTCATCTTCATTGTATCGATACTACTTTGGATTTTGCTGTAAAGAACTTTCCGCTTTGGCCCCTCTCCCGATTTTTCTCCTTGGTAGATACCGAACAGATGCGGCTAGCCATCCATTTCAAGTGGTTATCCCCAGATGTCACATTTCTGACCTTCAATCATTTTTCCCAAGAACAGCACAATTGCGGAACACTCCCCCTTCCAGTTTTCCCTCCAACGTACATTTGTTTTTAAACGCAGAATCAGCAAGCTGGTTGTAGCGTGAATGTTCGCCTTGCCTTCCCAAGTACATATCCTTGGATTATGGAATTTACCCCTTACGTGTAGTCAAAAAGCCACCATTTGAAAACTCATCATCCTCACAGATATCGATGCCAAGGAACATTACTTTTACCAAAGTATTGTGGAGACCATAATGAGAAGCAGCAAGTCACCGTGTTTGCAACTTACTTGATACCCGCTCATCTGTGAACGGATCAATAAACGAACTTGTAGGTATAGAGAAAGCGATCTTCACATTCCATTATTGTATGCCCAGCAGCCGAAGCCGCGTTCCAGCAGATGATGTTTGTATTAAAAAAGGACGATCTCATCCTTTTTCACTGAGCGGTGGATATAATATTGTCCCATTAATGGGAAGACATTGGTGGAATTTTGGCCGAACAAGAGCATGGATATTTCAGAGTTCGTGTATGTTTGACTGCTGAGTAGAAATACGCTTCGTTTAAAGGGTTGTGATTTTTTCAGATATATTTATGTGCAGAATGTCACTGAAGAATTAGGTTGTCTGGTTGAACCCTCATACATCATGCAGGGAAATGAGGCAAAATGTAAATAAACTTCGGTACTTGGACAACTACAGCTCACATTTACCGAAAGGTGTACAGGAATCGCATTTCGTAGTCAACTGTAGTGCCGAGAAGCTATGACGATTTGAGTGTTTCACCCTGAATAGATGTTGTGGGAAAAGGAAAGTTGCAATTTGGTACCATCGCCTTGTTTGCGTTTGGTGGGAAATAAGGAACATTTGCTCCGAGAAAAATTATGACGTGGCTAAGATCGAACATTAGAGTTCGTGTTCTGGACCCATAAATTGTATTGAATAAGCACAAATCGGGCATGGTCTCGGAGATTCTCTCAAGATGTGCTATGTTTAATGTTTATCCATAAAGGTAAGTAAAACTTGATAACAAGAGTAATTTGTATCCGTTGCGTTAAATTATCAACCTGGAAGTTACGAGATCTGAGCGACGTATGGTGCGAAAAAATGGGGAATGGTTAATTCAATCGGACAGTGGCGTCTTGGTTTAATTGGTTCACTTCGCCCGTCCCATCCTCTCACTTTTTTATAGGACGCTCAAAACTCTTTATGCATTTCCCGACAAAGTGACGTTTATGGAAGTTGAAAGCAATGCGCCCGCGCAACCGAACTGATGACACAAAAGTGGTACTTCAAACAAGTCTTGTAATACACAAAGTGGTCTCAAAGTTTCCAGGACCATATGGTGCCAAACGTGCTCACCGCGAGGTCAGTTATTGTGCTGAAAAATAAGTTTTCAGCGGGCGCATTTGTTGTCAATGTTACTGAGTTGCACAAAGCAATATTCCCTTAAAAGAGATGATTAGCTAGCTACCCCGACAAATTCATTTCCAAGACCAACTCAAATTGATCGGAATAGCCACAAACTTTTATCTGTCGAATACTGGACAAGATAGACAAAGAGACAGACATTGCGTGAGAAATAAACCATATACGACGGTAGAGAGAGGGGGGGAGCGACAAACCCAAAGAGAGATGAATATGCAATTCGTTGGTTCCGGAGAGGGGGACATAGTGAAAATAACGGTAATCAGGAATGAGCACGAATGAGTACNGGGGGGGGGGGAGGGGTAGCGTCACACGTGGTACATCGACATCAATAAAATTGGAAAAAATCGCACGAGGTAAACAAGTTCCGGTTCTGTATCGCATAAACAGGGTAGGGAGAATGAGTTCTGAACAAACAAAAAACACTGACCAAACCGATGAGAAGATCACAGATTCACATCCGACTTAGAAAGAAGATAAAATATCGAAAGAGATAGACAAAAAGGGACGATTGAATTACTTAGAAAAAAACAACGCCACATAGAAAGTCTTATTCTTCCAAGTTAGTTTATTTCACACTATTGCTTACCTTTCTCTCTGTGCAAATCATAAAAAACCGGGGACCAGGGGTGGGGGCAATAACAGTGGCAAAATGAACCAGGAGATAGACAGAGGAGCGGGAAAATGCGCTTTTTGTAATATCTGATGACAATCACGTGACGACAAAAATAACAACGACGATAAATAAAAGCTCAGGTAAAGATGGTTAAAAATGTGTTATCACAAAACACTGAACGATAATAAATCCGACAGGTAACTATGTATCGACAACTTTCCATATGTCCATATACATATTTGATATATGATATAAATAAACAATCAAGGAAGGGATTTATCAGGTCCAGAATGAATATGTATGTCACAGTACCGCTCGAAACCCAACAAAACACGTAAAAAGAGAGAGAAAACAATGGAAAAATGAGACGTATGCACATTTTGGACAAGATGAAGAAATAGTGGGGTTTATGGTAGGCAAATAGATAGATAATTCATCATGGACAGGATTGACTCTCTGGCAGTGTGCTGACCCGTTTCAGCACACACATTCCGGTTTGAATTGCGGTGGGTCAGATTGGTTGTGGTTCCGCGCCCAGTCCCGATGACGGGAGGGGGGAGAGGGCGCGCGAGTCATGTTTCTTTTTCAATCTGACTGAAGACATGGAGATGCCCGATTATTGTTGATTCAAAGCACGACGCTCCGGGGAGATCACCTCAACTCGACGATACTGAGGATGCGTGACCAAATAGTAAATAACAGCACCGAAGCAAACAATGCATACGCCCAACACGTTTCCAAGCACTTCTCGGGTCTGGAGAGATGGATAACTGTGAGAACGGAGAACAGATGTGAATGCGAGAATTGAAATGATTCTCCTACGAGAACTGAACTAACAACGACGGGATTGGATTCACCATTTGTGGATAACCACCTACATAGTCAATTCAACAAATTTTCAATTCTTTGAGTGGGAGGACACAATAAACTTTATGCCTACATTATGCGACCTACTCAATAGAAAAGGATGTCAAAGACCAGTTGTTTAGCGGAACAATACGTAAGAACAACTGATCATCTCAAGTTTATTTTTCCACTTTTCATGGACTAGACAACTGTGCAATCAGTCTTCAGGAAGGAGAAATCAGATAATCTAGGGTAACTCACTGAAAATAAGGGAGTGGGGAGGGGCGGATGAGATGGGGAAACACAACGAGACCTATTTGGATGGTGGTCTGTGACGCTGGACCATCTGCCTGAGCATGGGAATTTACAATGTCGGACTACAAATTTCGCTAAACAAGAAACCATTACACATTTTTCTCTTTCAGCAAAAAGATTGAGATAACAAGAAGACTTGAAAGAAAAAATATATTACCAGTACAGGGAGCTATGGGTCTAGTTAACGATCGATTAAAATATCTTGCTAACGAATTACGTATAAGATACAATCGGAAAGATAGCTGAATGGATCAAAGTCAAACTTACGCCTGGGAGAACAGATTTTTCTCGGTGATTCCGGAGATGCAAACTCCAATCATGAGAACAAACAGGCCAGTCCCAAAAGACACGTGAACGGGTAGATAGGTGGCACGTGGACGTTGAGGTATTTGTGGTACAAGGAAGGTAATCAGACCACAAACCCACTGAATGCAGGAATGGGAATCATAAAAGGAAAGGAGAAATACATCGATCTGACAGAGAGAGACACTTGAAAATCTATAAGCCTCTGCTGAAGCAAGTCATTTTTTGATAACAAGAAGAATTTGATATCTTATCTGATTTTTATTATTACACATGGCAAACATATGGCACGTGGTGAAAAAACCACCACTACCACTGAATTGCTCGCCATTGGAAACTGTCTGTTTAACTTAGTTGATGATGGTTGGGATCGAACAAATCCTAGGAATTAGATATGCTGTTATCAGTGATCTACATCACACAATCGCCTTGACCCTAGTGATTGATAGGCTTGACTGCTGAGCGAAGGCCTTTCTTTTATCCCTGCCAATCCGGTTCCCCCCCCCCATTAACCTGTAATCGTCTAACTTCTTCTTTGCTTCATAACACACAAAAATTATCATTGTTATTATTATTATTATATGATTCATTTCCGGGAGGATTTCTTTGCATTTCTCACAGTGTCCACTGCCGTAAATTACATTCTTCAAATAAATGACCACGAGGAATGAAAGTCAGCGATTTCGGAAGTGATTGTCAGGTAAATTAAGTATAACAGTTATTTTTAGCACAGTGACTGATTGTAACCTTTTTAGCGAGCTCCAGCGTTCTAGCGTTGAACGCTCTGTAGATGAGCCGGAATACTCTTTCTCAGGCGACACTGTTGCACTATCGGTAAATATCTGGCAATTATTGAGGTTGGAGTTTCGCATCGACAGGGTTGAACCCGTTGGGAATGTGCTTAGAGATCCGGCTACGTAACTGCCTCACTGTTCTGCCGACGGTCACCACACGGTTATACTGGAATGAGCGGATAATCTTGGAGTTGATATGGAGGGAAACGTTCCTCAACCGGAGGGTTGAAGAAACAAGTAGTTTGGCTGACGAATTTTGGTTTGTATTCGTAATATGTCCGGACAACCACAAATATCATTTAAGTCGTTACGATTGGACGGAAAGAAAATCACAACTTAAAATCTCGGCACAGACGTACCAATAGATCCTTTAACGACTGGCCTGCTGTGCTCGTTGATAAACTCAACAGGGTAGCTTATTGTGATTTACCGTGGAGCAACTCAAATTACTCTGCTATCGTGTATTCTATGCAGATCCACTTAGCTCGATCGGACAGAGTACGGATAAGGCCACGTTTGAACGTCACAGACAGAAAATTTTCAAATTTCGTGTATTGCGCAATCCATGTTTCTTAAATAGACAGACAAATGGCTACATAGTCCCGTTAGAATTTCGGGTGATTTTCATGTCCAGGAAGTTTAGGTTCTGAAACAAACAAAAAAATAGTAAAGACGCAACGAATTTGTCCCGGACGTAAATCGTACAATGCATTACAACTAGATTATCTTTTCAAGCGGATTCCGATAAAATACTACTATTGTTACTACCATTATTTTCATCATTATCAATACATGCTTCCTTGATAAACCTGTCATCAGGTTTGTCCCACTGGTAAGGAAAACGGCGAATGAACTCAGCTGTGCGAGACGTTATCCCGTGCGTGGCAGTTTCTGTCTGTCTGTCTGTCTGTCTGTCCGTCTGCTTGCCTAACAACCTCATTCCCAATCGATTGTTCGCTCATTCATTTTCCGACAAACAGCATATGTGACCTCATAGATTGTATCTACAACGATCAAATGGAAACTAAGCAAATAGAGCTGAGAATAAAAAGGAACTGAAGCTGTGACTAGAGGACGGGACGCATTATAAATCGTAGTGTGTTTGGACAAGGATTGGTCTTTGTGGCTCAATTCGAACAGATTTAATTACATGAGCATTTGCTTACAGCAGTTCCGAATTAGATGTGGTGTCCAAATGTTTACCACAAATAGTTTACTCACTTCGACACATGGTGAATAATGCACACATTATGTGTGTTTATCGTATCATGGATTCGCTGAACAAAATATGTAATTTTAGCAGTAGTACACTGCGCAGATGAAGATCCATCCAAGTGTACTAACGAAATCGCTTCGAGCGGAACGATGACAATTTAGCAATTTTGTGATTAATGCGTAAACGTGGACGCGCAGATGCACCACACATACAGGCAAAAACAGTGATAGTGAATCAGTTAGCACGAAAGAGGTAACCGCCTGAATTAAATAAACTGCTGGTTATTGGAACATAGGGCAATGGAATGCGGAAATTATATGGCAAATTTCCGGAAGCAATTTGATGGACTCGTCCCGGTATCTGCTATCGAAAGTGACATGTGACAAGCACCTAAATGAATGGAAACAACAAAAATCCTCGAAGCATAATACTGATATAACCAGCTACTGGTCCTTATCCGTTCTACAAATCATATTAATCAGTAGTCTACGAGAGGGATTTTGAATTCGATTGCGCTTTTGTTATTGTAGTATGCAGTCGCAGTGCGGCTATTTTGAAGTGACTGGGGCTTTGGCATGTCTCACTGAACCTTGAGTTCATCGTGGGTTCTGTTCAATTTTGTAGTGATTGAAAAGACCATCCATCAATCATTCCTGGAAGCGCATTGACGATTCGCCGTTTCAGTATTCGTATATTGAAAGCCCGATCAGGACCACTGACCACGGGTATTCTTATAACAAATATCTACACGAGTGCACCCCATTCAGTTTTAGTTTGCAGTTTGCACAACCATTAACCATGCATTATCGTGCGACTGTTTTGGTTGCTATCTTTCGGTTGCCCATTTGGATGAACATTAGGAGAAAGACAGGAAAGGTTGAAAGTAGAGAAAATTGAAAAGTTCAGTGGACTAGTGACAGAGAAATTGAGAAGATGCACGGACGCCACTGTTTACGACACCCAGCCATATCACTCAGTGTCTATAACCATCGGGTACGACCATCCCGAGGTCGCCATCCAGGGAGCCTAACGGGACCTATGTGACCCAGATTCGAGGTTAGGGTTTTCATACCCTCATGCCAAGTCTTAGCTTGACCACCCTGGGCTTTCTTCCACCCACTACCTTCCTCGGCAAATATCGCTCGCCGTGGTAACCTATCTGGTGATATGCGTAACACATACCCCATGACTAACAAGCAATAAGCCATCTAAAAATGCAAACATGGAATGCCGTTTTATGACATTATGTTCAATTGCTGTTCACGACTTAACGGTGGAGAATCGTCAAATGGCACTTCACCTGCACTTCAACATCGATTCTTGAGATTTCACGGTTGTATATTATCCTACTATCCATGTTTTTTGAAATCCCTGCATTTTATTGCGTCGATGTACGACTTTCGCCTTTGTTCATCCTTTGAGAAACCGCAGCAAACGGCTCACAAATAAAGACACCGAAGTAATTAACCTGCTCATTGGTGCANTGCACAACTCTGAGACAACGCTCCCCCAGCAGGAAAAGTAAAATTGGTTTACGGAGAAACGGATGATCTAAAATTTGGTTCGACAAAGAGAATGCAAGGAGGTGAGGGGTGATGCAACTCCAAAAAAGTTGGTCAAATTCAAACATCGGGGAAAATGCGGTCGAATCTCACAAATTTGATATTGTCAGAGACAATTAGCTTTTCAGTTTGTGCGGTTTCTGTATACTGATATTTCCACTGATACATTGGCTCCAGTATACACCAACACTATCAATAAGATTCACCACGTAGTTGATCAATCTTTGTGCATTGCAGTTACTGAAAGCAAAGCTGTATGCTACATGACTTGTCCAGAGGCTGCAAAAGGGGAACGACTATTGAGCTGGTGGCTAGCCATGAACAAGGCTCCTTCAATTTAACAGAATGAGCAGTCATGGATGACCAGTGGAAGTATCTGACGACATGATGGATTTCACTTGGCAATTGTCCTCCCACATAACGTCGTGAGAGCCTGATGATGGGTAAGTGTCTTTTATCCTGTTCAAACTACTGATGTTGCCCTGTTATGTTCTTATTTATGTTTCTATTTCACTTCCTTGTATTGCGTACACAATAATACAATTATCAGGAAGAAGAAAGCGACCAATCAGAGGGCTGGAATACAACACAGAGAATGGGGAAAGTCAGGCGGTGATGGTGGCATTTGAACACACTCCCTCAAGGGCGATAAGTGGGTGAACCTTACCGATTGGTCACGACCGAATGAAACTTGACAAGGCTTTCCAGCAGAAACTAATAAACCCAACTATTGATCATCGGCTGGTCTGGAACGCCCTGGTACTTCGCAGATTGCACTTGAATATGCAAAAGTCCCAGCAAGGACAGTCCAAGGTTTAAGTGATTTTATGTTTGATCACATTCGGGTGATGAATAAAAGTAGGTAACATGCCCCTAAGCTGTTCAACGCACACCAAAACCGGAATTGAACTAAACTATGGCCAATATGAGTTTGTCTCACTATGAACTACAAAACGAGCACGCTTTGCACACGTAGCTTATGATGTAGAAGGTAATGATGAACGAACCGAGGACAAAACAAAATAGGTTACTCACTTGTACACCAAACAGAACGAGTGCAACTAGTCCAATCCAACTGTGTAGGCTGTAGAGGTTAGGAATGCGTCGGCTGTCATGGAACTCAAACACTGCTTTGACTGCGACCACGGCAAACAGGAATGCCAGGATATGCAGGACAGCGTGTAATATTTTGATGGGCATTTTGCGATAGTTTCGAAATACCCGATAGACAAGGATGGCTGAAATTTGACAAAATTAGAAAATGACTCATAAGCAATGACTAAATCCGATGAACCTAAACATTCTTGGAACATTAAACGAAATGGTGATGCATGATGACGACGGAGTATACAAGAAGGATAAAAATGAGTCAGCTATCTGTCTGGTTGATAGGAAGCTGGCGTACACGTTAGTCACTTGTTTCTTACAACTTGATGACACGGAGGTCACCTGCGGGAGGGCCGATTTCTCCACTAATGAAATTTAAACATGAAATGGGAATTTCCGCCCCCGGGTTGTTGGAACAAAATAAACTAATCCCACATCAGAATGGAAACATCAGCGGAAGTTAGTACCATGTAAAACGGTAAACGATCGCTGAAAACCGAGAAATACGGTATTTTTATTACACATCTAAGTGTGATGAAAAGCGGACGGGGCGAATCCCATGATCACAAGGACCTGCTGTTCAGCGATCGAGACCGGCAACCTAGGCCCCGGGACTTGGAGTGGCGAACAACATAAGGTCCCGATAGGTTAGGCGCGGTATTGAACCGGACGACAGCAGAGCTGCCTACCACCAAAGTCGGGTGGTGGTGGCGAGGCTCGAGCCTCGGACCATAGGGTCTAATGCTCGCCGATGATAGCGACCAAAACACTGCGCCACCACCAGTAAAATAAATAGAGCTACAACTGCATATGAAGAGAATAATTTGAACGAGCTTTCATAGGAATCCAATTTTCACACAAAATATTTCGTCAAAATTACTTTGATGAAACTGAGTAACTACTTGAGTGTACCCTACGGTGAGAACGCATCGACCGCCACAGCTTCGAGGGATCGGAAATAAAGCACCATCAAAAAAGTTAGGTGAAACTAAGAACTTAAAAAACCGTCAGATCCGTTCATAATGAATTAGTTCGGGATTTCAGATAAACGTAATGAGGTACGGCGCAACTGGGGACTTTTGTATAGATTTTTCTGTATGCAGGTACCAACAGTGAACATGCGTGGTGAAATATGATGCACATTTAATGAAGTCACTTCAAGGATGAGTATCATCGAATACCCATCACGAGGGAACTGCACCTTGATGTGGTGTCACAACTTGTGCAACTCTCTGACCCAACAAGCTACACAGGATGGCTTCTTTCAAACCAGGAGATCTTATCATGCCTGAAAGGCCAATGGGTAGATGTCAGAAGAAGTCCAGTCTCCTGGTCCTCCAGGTTGATGGTGCAACCGGAATTTGCGTTTCAGTCGATAAAAAGCGGTGGAGGAGTAATTGATCCCAGTTAGTCGGCCCCCACTTCGCTTCACGCGCTGCCTTGCGGTTAGGTTCGTGTCAGAAGTGAAGGCTCTGGACGAGAACCCTAATTGTTCTCCTGCTTAGTGGCTGGACACCGTAACAGTACCCGTCCATCAAACCCCAATGCATACACAAACCAAAAATAGATCCATACTGTATTGGTCGTCGCGCAGGATAATCAGGACCGCACTGCCCACTGCATCGAGCGGGATGGGTAGTGATAAGTGAGCTAGTGATCAGATATCCTAACCATTGTTTAATTTATCTTCCGTACCCAGTCCTCTCCAAATGCCTCCTTTTCCAACCTGCAATGGTCCCTCAAGCAAATTGGATGTTGCTCACCCAAGGTCGTTGCCAAACAGCACTGTAATTAATATGTCATGAAATGGATTGCAGATTCTAATGCCTCGTCAATCACTGAATCTAGGGGCTTTCAATGTGAGGACTTCGATGCAGGTAGGTCAACAACCTTGTCTGGCGCGTACAATGGAATCCTTAGGGATCGATATTTTCTGGGTGTCAGAGACTCGAATTCAGGATTCTACTACCAAGCCACTTGAGAGCGCCAGATTTGCCCTCGAGGTACGTTCTTCGTATATCAGGCGACGATGAAGCCCGTTTAGGTCAGCGCGGNCCGAGTCCTCTCTTATCGATTGGATCCCCGTCAACAGTCCGTTGTGTGCAGTGCGTCTCCAGAGTTTATCAGTGCCCGCTGTGACGCATCCCCCCGGGGAGTTGGGGCTGTTTTATTACATAGAATGCACGACTCCATCGAAAGACCTATCACTTTTGCCTCGAGAAGTTTATTACCTGCAGAAAAAAATTACGCTCAGCTAGATCGGGAAGCCTTGGCTGCTATCTTCAGCGTAAAAAGATTTCATCAATATCTATGGGGCAGAGTTCTTTAGTTACAGACTGTCCACAAGCCACTGCTCAGTTTGATGGGGGAATTTAAAGACATTAACCAAATGGCATCACCCCGAATGCAAACGTGGGCCAGTTTGTCAGGTTGTAGTACAAACTGCCAGACTGTTGGAACAAAAAATAAAGTGGCGGATGCTATGAGTCGCTTGTCTCTCCCGGATGCACCAGAATACGTATCAAAACCAATGGAATTAGTGAATCTGGTGCAACACGTAAACAAGGGGCCTGTCATCTTTTCGTCGAGAGACCGAACGGGATATCACAATGACTAGAATTACACTTTTTCTAAGTCACGGATGGCCGCGAACCACCGAAGGCCAAGTCGCGGGTTTTACCCAACGAAAGGATGAACTAAGTCTTGAAGACGGATGTATAGTATGGGGTTCACGCAGTTGTTCCACCTAGCTTACGACCCCAGGTACTCGCAAACGTATATACAGCGCATCCAAGCATTTGCGGGATGAAAACACTAGCCAGAGATTATGTTTGGTGGCCTAAGATGGATGAAGACATTGACCAACTAGTTCGGACATGTGAGGTATGTCAACGGTTTCAAAGGAATGCATCGCCAGTTCCTCTGAGTCCTTGGAGTTGGCCTGAAAAACCCTGGCAGCGGGTTCATGTAGATTATTTTGGTCCGCTCGACAACTGCATGTTCTTACTGATGACTGATGCACATTCAAAGTGGATCGAAATTTATCCTGTGTCCCACGCCAGTTCGGGGACTACAGTAAGTTGCTTGCGTACATCATTCAGCACATTCAGTATTCCACAGACTCTGGTGACCGATAACGGTACTCCGTTTACCAGGGAAGAGTTTAAACAATTAGTCCAGAGAAATGGCATAGATCATGTCAGAACTGCCCCTTACGATACAGCCTCCAATGGACTGGCGGAACGAACCGTCCAAACCGTCAAACAAGGTTTACTGAAACAACAATCAGGAACGATAAGGACCTAATTGGCGAGGTTCTTATTGTCATATCGTACAACCCAAACAGAGAGCACAAGAAAAAGTCGGGCGGAACTAATGTTTGGACGTAAACTACGAACGAGACTGAGTCTCTTTTCCGAGAACCAAGAGCTGATATCATGGAACAACAAGGAAAAATGAAAGATAGATATGACGATTCAGCCAAACACAGGAAATTCGAAGAAGACGACCTAGTGTGCACGAAATTACCACATGAGCCATCTTGGGAGCCGGGTGTAGTGAGGTGCACCAACGGCCTGCAAAGTGGGATCTAGCTTTCGGATGGAAGAATAGTGACACGCCGTAACGACCAAGATCGTGCTAGACATGTACACGAGGATAAACCAGACGAAACGACACCTATCATTGAGAATAATTCCACATCCCAGCATGAGGACTCAGTACCTGAACAGAGTCTCCGCCGATCCAGCAAAAATCCAAGCCAGCGGACAGATCAGGCAGGATAATGTCTAGTCACACAAAGGAGAAAGGAGTGACAGGTGTCAACGTCAATTATGCCGTCGATCAATTCTCCGTCCCACTCGCCGGTGCTTATCTCTCAGACGAAGACCGGTGTTTACCTCACCCACATACACGTGCACACACGCGGGTTCTCGTCCGCTCACAGACGCACACAGACCCCACAACTCATTCCTATTGGTTGACCTGTTAGTTATTGCCCTATTTTAGATTGTCACGTGACGCATGATTCATT